CACTGAAGTAAGTGATTTTGCTTAGTGACGGTTTATGTGTCAACTTTGCCTTCAGCTTGTGCCTTGAATCCCTCCTCTTTGCCAGGGAGTATCAGTGAGCTCTTCTCCTGTTATGAGATGTTTGTGCAGGCTGTTTCGAGGGCGGCTACATATCCTGTGGGAGGGTGAAGGCTCCCACTTCCCACAGCCTCCCTGCTACAGGGTGTCTCTTGATGAGCATCAAGGTCCTCTGCAGAGATGAAAATGCACAAAGCTAAAATAATGTCCTGCCCCTTCCATCTAAGATATCCTTAGCTTTTGAGTCCTATTTCTTAAGTGGTCCTCAGATCTTTTGCCTGTTGGGTCTTGGCAAAGGAAATGGAAGAGATTTGAACCGTGCAGACTGAAAAATTGCCTCCCTGTAAGCTGGTGGCCAAGCTGGTATGCCCTGAGCCCAGACAACACTCCATCTTCTCACATCTCCCTTCTGTGAAGACATGGGAGAATATTTCCCCTTCATTAATGGTTCCTTTCTTTCCCCAGAAGCTTCTCATGCTTCTCCTGCTTAAAATTTGAATCATGGGAAGCAAAACATGCTATGGCTGATGTTCAGCAACAAACCAAGTAAGAGCAAGTTGATAATTCCAGATGCATTTTCTAATTCTTAAATTAGAAAAACCCCAGCCACTGAATGTGGTTCAGTGATACACTGAAATACGCTAAGACGTCATTTATGACACACTCGATTACTTCCTGCGATTTGGGTAACACAAAAGGCCATGAATAGGTGGCTGCCTCATTGTGTTTCGGTTTGGTAGGCTGCAAAAAAGAGGCGATTTGAAGAGATGATAAAAACTGCAGCTAGCTGGGAGCTTTCTTCATTGAAAGCTGACAAGTTTTTGAAACCGGGACTTCATACGGACCAATATGATTTCACAGTCTTTTCAGGGAGGTCCTTGAGGTCTGGAATGGGCTCTCCTGCATGTTTTGACTGGAGAAATTAATAACTCAGAACAGCCACTAAACTGCACTTGGGACTCTGCTGCTGGGGAAGATGTGAATTGCAATCATCAGGATTTGGGGCTCAGCTTAGCCCAGCCCAGCCCTATTCCCTAATCACTCAGCTTCTAGGAGACCCGTGATTCTTCAAACAGCCTTTAAGCCTTCAAGCAGATACTCTGAAAACACTTATAATGCATAATAATGCATAAGAAGTGTTATAAGAATGCTTAAGAAGATCTAGTCAAAACAGAAATAGCTTTAATATATTTTTATGTATATGTATACAAATATATACACACACAGATATATACATATAAAAGCCAGCTTTTCAGCTTGCTTAAAAGCCTTTGCAATACTTCACTGCCTTCTGCAGTTTGCATATACATGCCATCTCTGCAGGTATTCAGAGATCTGCCACGCTGTGGCAGAGAGGCCTCCTCTTACTGAGGACTACAGGCTCTGAGAAGCCTCCTGCTCTCCCCTCTCACATATGCTGCAGCACAGGGAGACCAGCCAGCAGAACAGGGAGGCAGAAAACAGCACAGCCCTAGCAGCACCAGCTTGTCATGTTGCCTCACATGCTAAGAATTTGAATTAAGTTTATGGACAGCATGCATGTCTACTGACAGAGGACAAAAAGTACCAGCTTACAGCAGCTACAACCCACATTCTGATTTGCCCTTTTGAACATTAAATTAGTGCTATGAAATACCAAATTTCTGTTGCCAGCACAGTCAGAGTTGATTCTGCATGGGTAGATGGGATGAATCTCACTTTTTCGCTCTCTACAAAAGCCAGCAATGGAACGGACCAGTGTATGAGGTGTAGAGGCCTGGGTGTTGAGACTGGAACCAGAACTGTATTTAAATAAGAACAAGTCAGCCTGTGGGGATAACTTGCTGGGGATTGCTTACACAAGGGAGGTTTGGCAGAGCAAGCGATTGGACCTCAGGACCACATGGCCCTAGAGACCTTGTAAGTGCCTTACAGCTCTGGTGCTTCCACTCCTGCTTCACACCCCGCACTTTCTTCGCTCACCAGGCAGTACGTAACGAGCCAGGTGAGAGCAACGGCCTTCCAGAACATGCCCAGGAGGGCCCACCCCAGGTTAGATGCGTGGCCATAGGACAGCAGCTGGACAAGGCCACTTGCCTGATAACTATTGTTTTGCCATTTGATTGAGGACATGTCAGCCTTCGTAATATCCATGAACATCCTGTCTCAGGCCTGTTCCGGTGCCAGCGGGGTCAGCCGCATGGCCTGCGTCGGACATCCTGCTCAGCAGCTCTGCTGCGGACATTCGGAAGCAATATTTTCCTCCCAAGGTCAGCAGATCAGGTATTTCCATGGAAATGCTGATGCTCATCCTGTGTACAGGACTTGGTAGACCTCCCTTCCCATACACAGGCAGACTAGGGGTGGATAAGCACGTGAGCAGCACAGATGCTACCGCATGGTCCTGGGTCCAGGAGAGAGGGTGCTTTGAGAGCCCCAGCACATCCCGCAGGAAGGACTTACAGAGCACCAGGTGTGGACTGATTTTGCCACTGTCATTCCAAGCAGATGAGGGTCTGACTTACTCTGAAAAGGATAGGGAGTTTCCCTCATGTCTTCCAGTCCTTCACCATCTTTGCCCTTAGGAAGCTTTTCCTCATGCCTAGTTAAATCTTCCTGGCTGCAGTCTGAGCCCCTGACTTCCCAATGACTGCTGTGTGTAAGGGTATGACAGATTGTTTCCACCCTCCCACTATCCCCTCTTTGAAGTAGGATTTAAGATATTTCCTGATCATCCCCTCTGCTTCTGCCTCAGCCTTCTTTGCATAGAGATGCATTTCTAAGATGTTCCCAAAAAAGCCCCTGGTCCCTCTTCCTCTGTCCCCAAAGCCTACATAAAAGAAAGGGTTCTCTTCCTGTGGCATAAAGGGAGTTGTTTGCCTCCTAGGACTCTTTTCAAAAAACCAAAGAAACAAAAAACACCAAACGTGGTACCTGCTAGATTTTCAGTTTCGCCACTAAGTTGGAGGGTTTATTTCCAAGTTCTTTATTTCTGGATATTTCTAAGTCGCCACTTCACATTCCACTGACAAGAACATGATTTTAGTGTCCCCTTTCTGCTCCAGAGGCTAGGAGCCCCTGTCAAGAAAGGGTATAATAGCTGTTAAGTAAGTGCAAAAGCTGGTCATGCCCCTGAAACACTGTTTCTTGTTAAGGCTGGCACAAGAGAGGATGTCCATGGAAACCCTAAGACAACGTTGTTAGTGTGGTGAGCAGGCTTCCCTGCAGCCTGAACGATGCTGTGCAATGCCGCAGGTCCCCCCACTAGGGCTGAAAAGGGTTTGTACAACCTGCAACATGCCACTGACTGCGAGGGAGGCATGAGGGGAAAGGTAGGAAGTGTGTGCATGTGGCTCCCACCCACGTACTTAGTTGTTGTGGTAGGATCCCAGCCAGGAACAGCTTCACTTTTCAAGCCAAACAAATTCTGCCTTTTAATTGTGAGGAGAACAATTGGAGTCGACTGAACTTTTGTGTTTTACGAAGAAAGTCCCACCAAAAAAAAAAAAAAAATTGTTGGCTCACCAGTCTGAGTTCGCTCCCCTATAACCAAATGGGACAGGCACTAGGACAATAGCTGGTCACTGCCTTGCACAATCCTTCATCACTGCAGATGGACACAAATGACAATAACCCCCTCACTGCTTTACTGAAGACCTGATAGTATCAATTGCAATGTATGAAGCAGTGTCACAGCACACACACTCCCTGGCTCACGCACACCTGCTGCTTCTCGGTCACATAACTTTTACCTTCGCACACGTAGGCAGCTGTGGCTGTTTGATCTGAAAAAGTCACCCCATAGGAAAGGAAGTAAGGGGGGATGTGAGAATACACAAAATGATTCAATTGCAAAGATGCTACTTTAAATCAACCCTCCTTTTCCCCATTTTCGAAAGGGTGGAGAAAATCTATCCAACACAAATTTTCCAAAGGGTGGAGAAAATCTATCCAACACAGTTTACATCAGTGGTTACTTTGATGGCTTAGGATGGTTTCTACCTATCCTAAGGTTAATCGAAGCATATCTCTGTATGCCTGCCCATCCCGATTAACTATATCTTGTACATACATTCAAATGACTGCTTCATTATTCTAAGGGTTGGAAGAAGCATCATTAGAAAGCTGCTTTCCCAGAAGGGATACATCATTCTAGCACATCCCAGAAATGTGGATCCACATGTGGCAATTGGCATAGCTCAGATATGACTCGTAGAATGACTGTTTTACATGTGAAACTACAAGGTCTAATTTCAGCCGTTAACAATGAGCATTTACATATTAGAGGCAGTGGAAAGCCTTGAGTTGTCACACTTCTGCGTTAATATGCACAACAAAAAAATTGTCATTGTGGGATGGGAATTTGCTTGATTCAAGATCTACTGCTCCACCATACTCTCGAATCAGTGACAGAGTAGCACAGCTATGTCAGGGGACCTGTAGACCCACCTACCTAGTTAAATAGGGCTCAAAAACATTGGGTGGGACCAGGGGGGTTTATGATATTGAACTATTGTTTTGAAAACTAGTTACAGCTGTTGGTATGCAAGCAGTTAGGGAGGAAAAGTATTAAAAAACCTGCCTATTATAGCAAAAACATCACCACAAAATGAAAAGCCCTGCTTTATTCCATTGCCTAAAATCCTAGCTTTTATATAAAGATGTTGTAGTTCCCCAATAAAGAAAAACAAAACAAAACCAAAACAGAAAAACCCAACACTCTGAAAATGCTTGAAAATGCTGCAGAGAGAGAGAGCACTCTTAGGGCAACGTTCTGCTTCCTCTGCTCTCATTGGAATGACTGCCCTCACCTAAGCAGAGGCCCTCCACACTACAGACAGGTGAATACAGGAAAAAACAAGCCCTTTTATTTTGCTACCTGATGGCTCAACAAATACAGAAGAAATAACATGAATGCTTTCAGAAGCGGTAAGCCCCTTCTTGGCAGTTTTTATGTTTATAACTATTAAGCCAAGAAACACTCATACACACAAATATGTTGGCTGCAGAATATCGCTGGCTAACCCTGCTTTTTAAAACTAGTTTGAACCAATACAATCCAAAGGAGAAAAGCAAAACCATACAAGTAAACAAACTGTCCCACTTTTGTGCAGTATTTCCATGAAACATCCTCACAGTATCTGAGGCATTTTCACCCTAGGGTGCGACTCCAAAACCTGCCTATTGCTACATGCATTCAAAAGATACATAATAATTTCATGTGTTCTTTGCTCAGTTCCAACAAAAGAAGCCATCTTTAAGTACTTCCTCTCCCTGAACAGTTTCTGAACTGAATCCTGGAAAAGAACTGAGAAAACCTTCATGGGATAAAAATGATGCAATATTCACTGTTGTAGCAAAAGTACTGAACACATGTGAGGGCTGTGAAGCCACGTGGTTTTCATTTGGGACATGTGAACATGGTGAACACAAATGCTTGCTTCCTTTAAAACCTAAGTACAACAAAGGAAGGCTTTATTTGGAAGCCAAGGGACAGCCTCTTTGTCACACTTGAAGGCTAAGTTACTGTGCAGCGGGAACTGTGAGTCATAGCTGTGGGGCCCCTGCTCACGGGCACAAAATCCCCTTTGCTAGGGCAGTCAAGGAGCAATGACAGCTCAAAGCTCCGTATCGCCATCCGAAAGCTTCTAGGAAAACAGCAAATGCAAGGCTGAGCTAAGAACGTGTTTTAGATGACTCACAATGCAGACATACCCCCCTCGGTCAGTACTTCCTCCCACAACTCCTTCTGCCTTACGATTCTCAGCTGGGGCTGGTTCCAAGTGTGAGTGCCTACGGCTCAACAAGGAAGTGAGACAGGCTTCAGCCAGGGCCTTCAGACTGCCCTTCAACTTTGATTGCAGATGAGGGATGCATTGATACTTAGACTGAGTATAACTAACTCTCTAGGTAGCCCTGCAGGAAAGCTCTCTGTCCTTAAATCATCTACAGTGTCAGATTAACTTACATCACAATGTGCTACAGAGATTTGCACCTGAGGTGAATACCCCTATCATTGTCTCCTCATGCCAGGGAAGGGTTTGCTGACTGATTTCAGCTACCCAGAAAGTAGAGACCTAGCTCATCCTTGCCCCTGCTAACTTTCACAAAGAAATAAATGTGTCCTTTAGTTGTTATGAATGTGTTACAATCTGCAGCTTCAGAAGTACTATGGAAAATTCCAGTGAAATCACCTGAAATCAGTGGCAGTCAAGTTAGTGATTTGGGAGGTAAGCATTCACTCTAAAAATCAACATACATATATTTGGATGCAGATACACACACAAATATAAGCTCCTCAGGGAAGCACTATATTGTAAACAATATGTTTCACAGGAGGCTTGAGAATGTCTCCTCAGCCCCATTTCTGGTCTATATTAACATTTGACAGGAGCTTAAAAATTAAAGATAAAAGAGCTCTCAAGAAGCAACACAGTCTCTTTCACTGCCTACAGCCAGGGCCTATGCTGCCTGGATGGTTTCTGGCAAATTTTTGTCCACTTTGTTCTGTAAAGCTTCCAGGAAACACCATCTCTGCTTTACAAGACAGTCCAGACTACTGCTTAACTACCTTTCCCTATAGGAATTTCTCCTAATCACTGCAAGTGCTTTTTCCAAGCAGAGGAATAAGCCCTGGTGAGAATCTGGCACATACACAGAGTATTTTTTCTTAGAGAGCTGCTTCCTTTCCTGCTGGCATCCTGGGAACTTTTTGCTCCCACTCCTAATCAGGTGCCCACCAAACACTACCAAATCCCCTATGATTTTGAACTGAACACAAAAGTCGCTGGCCAGGAGAGGTTGATTTTTTTTTCCCATCTGCTTTTGTCTCCAAACTGTATGTTCTCAAGTGATGGCACCACCATCCCTTAGAGCAACCCAGGGAAAGGTGCAGCTGGCTACACAGCTGGTTCAGCTGATGTCTCACAGCTAGCACACGTCCCATTTCTGTTTGAGCACAAGAACCTTCTCTACGTGCTCTACACCATAGTTCCGAAAGGGAAAGAACGGTATGCTTTTATTTGCCAGGCAACTGAAATAACCATATGAATCAAGAGACGGTGCCTAAGCTGGCTTGAATTCTGAAACAGCTGGCTTCTGCAGCCCTCAGCCTTGCCAAATGAAGTTGGTTTTTCCAAGCCACATGCATTGCAGTGGGGTGCATCAGATGTTTTCACTGTATGTGCTGAAAAAGCATCTCTGCCCTGAGGCAAATATCCCTGATACAGATAATGTGGTGGATCAGCCAGAAAAACCTGCCTCTAGAAAAGGGATAGCAATGAAAGATGGTGGAGGAAAGAAAGAGCTTCTCATTTACATACAGGAGGATGGCAAAGGGCCAGCTCTTAGCTTTGATCCAGGCAGGTTAGAGAAAACTCTTCAGAGCAGAGTTTTGCTAGTGCAGAGCAGCCCTTTGAAGTAACTGGGATGGGAAGAAGGGGACAGACAGAGCCCGGGACAGAAGCAGAACCAGAAAAAATGCCAAACAAGAAATTACATGAAATACGTGAAATAGGTACTCAGAGCTGTAGAAAGACATTCCACCTACTCTAGCTGCTCCCTTTACCACGAGCTCCATTGCTTCCCTTCCTAGCACTGCTACCCGCGAGCCTGCTGTCACACACTTGTGATGCAGCATTGCCCAAGGTCTGGGGTTCGCCAGACAGCTCTGCTTTCAGTGGGTTTCCCAGGATTCCTGATACAAACTTAATCTGGACCATTAATACCCTACACATGGCCAAATTGTAAAAGCGGCTATCTGATTTCCATTCCAGCAGAGCTCTTGCCTCTGCTGTCATTCCTCACAATGCTGAGGTGGTCTAGGCAGGGGTCAGATCTCCCCAACATCTGGAAGAGGGGATCTAGCACTCTCTTGGGCTGGGTGAGGTACCTTTGGCAAAGTCTCCTGCAGGTCAGTAAATGCACGAGCAGCTGCTGTCAGCAAAGCCTAGACCTGTTTGTTCCTCTCTGGCATCACCCTCTGCTGTCCTCATCCCCAAAGGTACCACACAGTGTGATACCACACAGACTGGTACTTTCTAGATTGAATGCCAGAACATAGAAGCTTTTAACGTTGAACTTCCAAACCGAAGCCATTTTCAAAATAAACCTTCTCAGTATTGCTACATCAGGTGGGTTTCACAAGGGCTGTCTGGCCCTTGCTACCAGGAACAACACAAAGGTTACTAAACATGAGTCACACCACTTTCCTTCTGGCATTTTTTGCTGCAAGGCTCAAGATCTCCTTGTGAGAGGCTTTCCAAATTGAGGAAAAGAGAACGACCCCTGGAGCACTTACCTGCTACAGGACTTCACAGCTGCTCATTAAATGTCACATCACTATTATCAGTGTGATGCAGAGAAGGCTGAATTCAGTCACCCACCACTGAAGCGCAGTCAGGAAGTCTGCAAAAGACAATGAAAGAAGAAGTTCAGAGAGAAGATGAGTGCATAATGCAGTGATCTAAATTAGGCATTGATTAAAACAGAGATTAAGTTGCTCCCTTACTTAATAAAATGATTATAGAAACTCAAGAGACAAGAAAACGAATGTCTTTGAAGTGCTCATGGAAGAGTTAACACAGCTTCTCTCATGAGAAAATGTGCAAGTGACACTGCAGGTCTGTCAGCATAGCAGACACCAACAAAAGAGGAACTCCCTCCTCAGACTCCTGCCTCCTCCACCAGCCGTCTCTTTTAAAAATGGACTAAGGCCAAATTAGCTGCAGCATAAGTGTAAGGGCTGGGGCAGTTGTCTGGGATTAGCTTGTCTCAGAAAAGGCGTCTAGCTGCTCAAAGGAGCTCACGAGGTAGAAATGCTTCTTGGGGGAGCTTGGTATAGAGAGCTGATGGGAGAAACAGAAAACACATAAGAAGGGGCAGGAAATAACTCTAAGAGCGTAAGAGAAGAGGTGAAATGCAGAACCACAAAAGATCAACTACTTATTTTAGAAGGGGAGTGAACTTAAATATTAGATGAAACAGGAAACAACGTTAATTCCTCTGAACAGAAGTAGAAGATGATTGGCCAGATAAATTAGTTGTGTGCAGATAAACCAAACAGTTACGCAGCTACAGGTTACAAAAGAGGAGTCTACTACCCTCGAAACTGCTGTGATCAGAGCAACTTCAAACCCTCGTACAGTCTTGATCCAAAGCCTAGAGAAATTGAGAATAGCCTTTCTGTGGGCCAAGATGCACGCTGTAGCAGCGGCCTTTGAGGACTCAGTATTATGTCAATGTGCCCTTGTTCTCCCATCTGCTTTCCTGGGAATCAAGATCACTTCAATTCGGAAACCCCTGGAGCAGGGGATTGATCAACCCTCCCTTCTCCCACACACTTGCTCTGACCAGACAGCACATGCAGTCTCACTTCTCCATTTCCTTCTCTGGCTACAAGGCTAAATTGACAAACTGGTCCAAATAGGAGATCTCTGCCCTGATCTTCTAGTGCCTTGGGAGCAGCATGTCACTGCAGTGCAGTGCTGCTCACAAAGCACCCCAGTATCGGAAAGGCTGGATCCATGCTGTAACACCCAGAGAGTACCCCAATGGATATACAGTTTTCCACATCCGGAGAGCTGTGTCCAGCTCTGGGCTCCCTGGTACAAGAGATACATGGAGCTATTGGACCAGTCCAAGCAAGGGGGACACAAACATGGGACTGGAGCCTCTCCCCTATGAGGAAAGGCTGAGAGAGCTGGGAATCTTCAGCATGGAGAAGAAAAGACTGAGGGGGGAATCTTATCAATGTGTATAAGTATCTGAAGGGAGTGTGTAAAGAGGATAGGGACAGCCTCTTTTCAGTGGGCAAGAGGCAACCTCAACCATTCTGTGATTCTGTGTTCTTAACTTGTCAAGATAATTTTCAGATCTCAGCAGTGTAGCCAGGGTCTGCCTCTATTACTATTTTGTTGCAGATGTGGAAGAGATCCTGACTGGAACAGTAGAGGACAGTTTTGGCTTGGGTCAGCC